CTTACAGTTCTATTTGTTGCTTTCCAAGCTCAAGAAACAACACTTTTACCAGTTCCAAAATTTTGGGCAACAGATGTCAAACTACACCTTTCCTCAAGCTTGCCAATCATTTTCCTATGAGTAATTGAGTCCTGATATTTTCTTGTAGCCATATTTCACGTTACCTACCAGCCATATTTTTCTTTTATTTGCAGATGAATGCCTGGAAATGCACCTTCCTTTCTTCTTTTTAAGTCCCTTGCACTGCGCCCCTGACACCTCGCGTTTTATTGTTATTGACAAAGAATTTTAAATGTCGTTCTCTAAAAGACTCTCAAATTCTTCTAAAAATTAAATCCCGCATTTTGCACAGACATCTTTCACTTTATGTGAATGTTTGAACGATTTCTGTAAATTAGATTGAGCTTTACTACCACGTCATGAAATCTATTTTGTAGCCCCTTGGTGTTCCGTGACCGTTAACAGCTAAAACGTGTTCCTGTAATTACCATCTATTCTAAAGAACTTTTTAATCTGCAGGCATGTGTTTTCCCATGCGTTGTATAAACACTTACACATTTATGTCTACAAACATTTAAATCTTGCCTAGAATTTGGCTTAAATCAAATAATAAGCCAACTTATGAATCCGACTTTTCTTTGAATGATTAGAATTCATATTTTCTATCATCTGTAACTTCTCTAATTCTTTTTATGATTGCAGCGAAAAAATTTTGATCAAGAAAATGTTCTTTTATTATAAAGAGTAGTGATATTTTTTTCCAGTTTTCTTCGGAAAACGTCTTTATAAGTTTCAAAAATCGTGCTAATTTGTACCTATCTTCCCTAAATTAAATTAATGTTTTTACCAGGTAAAATGATTTTACATGAACAAACTGACAAATTTTTTGACGCATTCCTCAACCTATTCATATCATTTCCCATTCAGAACTTTAGAATTCAGCTACGTTAGACCATATAATTGCTAAATATTTGGTGTATCTTAGACAATTAGCCTAAAGAAGGAATTTTCTAAATGCGTGGTTATATTTGGCATAATAAGTTAATTATGCTTTATATTAAACCTTGTTAATACAAAAATAATTATTATCATGAAAACCAAAAATGAAAATTTGGTTTCTCAAAATTAAAATCAAATAAGGAAAATAATTTCTTTTCAAATATTCCTTTTCATATATAAATTTTAAATCTATGAATAGTAAATAAGAGAAACGTGTATTGTAAATAATCAGTTTTCACTATTATTATTTTGTTATTTAATATTTAGAGAAGAATAGTTTTATTTTGTTTAAATTTCGATATTTGAAATTCTCTTTTGATTGTTCAATTTATTTATTTGTTTGTTTATTCGCAAACAAAGAATGCTTTGAATAATTTCCTCTATTTCTCATGTAATTTTTATACAAATTTTATCTGCTGTATTTAAAATAGAGGAATGTTTTTAAGCTTACATTTGAATTGATTAAAAATAAAGCATTTGCCTTTAAAGTTTTTATTATATTTTTAACGTCTTATAAATTTTTAACATATTTCCTTTTTAACATATTTCATTTCAAACTGAATAAGTGAGTAACTTTCACATCTTTGGGTGATGATGTGGCAATACGTAAAGTTTCATTTTTTAAGTCGTTTCTCTTTCCATTCCTTACAAAATAACATATTAAATAAGATTAAAAAGAGTTAAAAAAATTAAAATAATTGAACATCGAATTTCGTAAATATTCTCTTTAAAAATAAGTAAATGACATGGAGGAAGAAATCAATATAATTCGAAAGTAGTGAAGAAAATTTACAAAATTTTTGCTTATATTAAAGTTTTTTGTCAACTACATAAGAATATTAGCCGTTCGGCTAAAAACAAAAATAATAAAAGCAAATGTAAGTCCTTTTTTACTGTATAGTTGTATCTAAAGTTACTGTAATAGTTGTATCTAAAGTTAGCATTTCAACTCAGTTAATTAAACCATGCAATAATCGAACAACTGATTCTGGATTTAGCTATAGTATGATTATAAAGCTATATATTATTATTAGCTGATTATGAAGAAAATGCTAGCAAGTGACTAAACTAAACGCTGTTACTTTAAAGAAATATTTTACACCTTTCCAAACAAATTAAAACTGAATTAATTACTTTTTTGTAAAATTTAAGGTAAACATGAGAGATTTAAATAATTTGAGAGCCAAGTTGAGAAAGCTGAAAATTTAAGTACATTAAAGTACATTTACTTTGAACTCACTACATTATCTTAAATACAATTAGATCGCAATTAGATACTTAGGAAATTAAGTAGTTCATGAAAATTAGTATTTTCAGAAAAATTTGCCGACGATGTTAAAGCATTTTTCAGCCTCACAGATGTTTAACTGAACCAAAAATGATATATTAAATCAACTCCAAAGTGCAAATATAATCTATATCCCTGATCAAAATACTGTTCATTAAACGTCGTGAATTTTTTGGCCTCCTCCCATACCCATTCAATCATATAAATCAAATAATAATTAACTATCTGTAACTTGCACTAGAGTAAAGTGAATTATATTATAAGGTATTTCTCCCACCTTCTTGGCGTGCTTTCGTGGTGTGGCGGTCTGCACAATGGGCCGGTATCCCAGATGTCCGCGGTTCGATTCCCGGCGAAAGCTTTGTTAATTTTTCACTTCTCCTTCTTTCCAAAAATACCTAATGTCTCTACAGTGGCGCCCGAACTAAAAGAGTGTTGGATGATGATTTTCCTCACCCAGGATTTGGCGATTGGGTCTCCTAAAAAAACCCCAATCACCCTTTAAAAGGGAAAGCATATAAGGTATTTCTCCCACCTTCTTGGCGTGCCTTCGTGGTGTGGTGGTCTGCACACTGGGGACGTATTCCAGAGTTCCGCGATTCGATTCCCGGTGAAGGCTTTGTTAATTTTTCATCTTTCCTGTTTCCAAAAAATGCCTAATATCTCTGCAATATTAGCACTTAAAAAGTAGCTTTTTTATTGGTTATTAGAAAGTGATTGTAAAAAAAGGCTTTAAAATCTAAATAATTAATAAAAAAAGCTAAGTTATTAAAGGCATTAATTACTAGAATCATGTAAATAATTTTTAAAAAATCCGTACTCATATATTTTTCTGCCGACTATTATCAATAAACAAAAATTGTCTGAGTACGATTTAGCGCCAGTAGTGGATAAGCATAACATCACAAGACACCCAAGATCTTCACCTTTGATTTGTGTAACCGTGATTAATCTTCGAGAAACTATTTTTTTTTTTTTTTTTTTTAACGAAGGATATTTATTCATTGCTATTTCTCGATTTGTCCCTGGCATTTTGAAAAAAATTATTAAAATTTGGGACTAAACTTCTATGGAATAACTCGCAGGGGAATAATTTCAAAAGTTACGGGATCGTGATAGCAAATTACATATGCATGAACAAGCAGTTTGGAAGGAAATCTTTTTTATTTGATTAAAATGACATTAATAAAATTATTAATATGATATTGTAAATATTACAAGATGATATTTCATAGGTTTATATGTATATGTACATGAAGCGTGAACAGCCAAATTTGCCGATATTGTTTTAGCTGTTATAGCTGGCTAAGGAAATTTCAGGAATTGTATGTCTTATTTTAGAAGCAAATTGGAAATTATAACTAGCTAAGAAGTAATAAATATGTTAATTTTATTATACTGAGAACTGCTTAATCGACAAATGCCGTCTATTCTATTAGTGAAAATAATAATGACAATGAAATTACAGTTAAAAACATTATTTTACAGTTGTAAACATTATTTTTCATTAAAATTTTCTGCACTAGAAGCGCATAATTTGGTATGAAGTTCATTTATTCTTCTCACGATCATTTTAAAACTTGGATATCATGTCCAGAAAGATATACTTATTTAGCTTATAAAGTTGAGACGGTTCATAACTGTTATAAAAATGTATAAAAGCTGGAATTTGAACTAGAATAGGCTCTGAAGCTTCATTTTTTGATAAAAGGTTAATATAATTTTACAATAATCGTACAAACTAGAAATCTTTCACTTTTAAGTTAATTCATGAAAAACTAAAAATTCTGCAAATCCTTCTACATATATATTGAATCTAGTTAAGTAAAACGCTAGTACATGAAAATAGTAAGAAATTTTTAATACCATAAATATTTCACGAAAAAGGGAATGGTCTTGTATTCACAGTAAGAAATATTACTTTATCTTAGATTGGCAGACAATTAAATCATTAGTTTTAGTTCCCGATTTCTTTAAGTACATAATATTTGGTTCTCTCTAAAGTTTGTATGTATGAATTACTTGTGCTACTACATAAGCTGATACATATAGGTCAGGTTTCTCAAACTTTGAATTAATTTTTTTTTTTTCCGTTGCGAAGGCTGATATGTATTATTTGAACCAACTACTTGCTGTCTTATACTTCGATTTGAGGCTTTGTTTCTTTCTGTATGAACGATATTTTAATTTCGATTTAAAATAAATATTAGAAAGTTTCAAATGTTCTTACTAAATAACTTATTATTTACAAAACTTTATATTTCTAAACTTTAATTAAGGCATTTTTAAAACCATATACCGTTGAGAAAGAAACTAAAATAACTAGTTCTTTCCTACTTCTTTAAAAGTCATTACACCAACGCATATTTTCAATGAAACTTTAGAATTAAGTATCTTATACTATAACTGAATTCTATTTGTTTTAAAATGTGTTATTAAAATTCAAATAAACTTATCACTAAGTAATAACTATTCGTCCAAATTTTTAATATTTCTTTTTTTTTTTTCTGCAAAAATGCAAAAAATTAGATAGATCATGTCTTAGATAATTGACTACCTGGTCTGTAACATTATAAATCTTTAATTAAAAATAATTATACTTATAGAGGTTTAATGTAATTTATTATACTCATTTCTTAACCACGTCTAACCTTTTTCAAACAAGTTATATACTGATACAGTCAGTAAAGGATTAAACTGGAAGTCTGCTTACCTGCTAGCTTGAAATAAGCTGAAAGATCAAGATCAAGGTTTGGAATGTGAAAGCGAAGTGAGTTCGGAACCATACGTTCTGCTTTATATAAGTGAGTTTCTTGGAGTCAATGGTCAGGTCAAATTGTCTTCTTCCTGGGGCATAATTTATATCGAAATATGAAGCCAAACAATGGGTTTCGCACAATAAGATTCCCGCCATCACGATGTTACGCCGCAATGGACAAAGGCGGACGACACTTCCTTGGCACACGACATCTTTGTTCAGAGTAAAAAGAAGACAAATTTCGACTTCTTTGAATGGCCCATCTGAACGCGCCGATGCTTTAGCACGAGCATGTCACAGAATTCAAGATCAGAAATAATATACAGGACGCACCCGTTTATTATTATGCAGAAAGCTAGAATAATGAAATCGAAATTTCAATTCTAACAAGCTATCCACTTCCCTTCTTCAACAGAAATGTTCTCTATTCCTCCTTAATTCCTTAGTGTTCTTAATAGCAAACCTTTCACTTATGTTTTTATTGTATTATTGTAAGAGAATATAAAATCAAAATTTTATTGATTTCCTAAAATAAATCGCAAATGTTTTAAAAATCGTAAATATAAATGTTTAAATAATCAGCGCCATTGAAAAGTCTTAAATTTGATAACATGGCGATGTATTCTGTAATTACGTTATGATTTCAAATTGAATTTTTACAACTTATTTTTTTTTCTTTCAAATTTAATTAAGATTTTTTTTTTTTTTTTTTTTTTTTTTTTTTGTAAAACATTGTTTTAAATATTTTTTTTTAACTGAGAGATGTGTAAATTGAGATAATTCCCCCTATTTTCGACAAAATAAATGGCTAAGTAAGAAATTTAATAAAATATATAAAAAAAAATTAGAAATAAATGAAAACAATTATTGAATTTTTATATCAGGAATATTTGCACAGATTTTCATGGATAGTTTTCATTTGTAACGTTAGCCTTTCGGGATGGTTTAGTAACAGCGGAAACTGACTGCATACATTTTTAAGGTACAAATGAGAACATGGTTATCTACGTCTGCCTTATTGTGGAAAAGAAGCATTTAAAATATGTCTATTCGAAAATCTTCTAGAGAGGTTAATAGTAAAGAAAAAGGAATATTGAACACACAGATTCATTCAACTGGTGTTAAACCCCATTTTCTCCAGAACATGCGAGCAAGAGCATAGTAAAAACAACAATAATCTGAAAGCTTCCAGATTTTATATTACGCCGAAAGGGATGTTTTTAACGTTTTGTATGTTACTTATTAAATATCATGACTTAAACCATAAAATTCAATTCAATAGCAATATCACAAAATATTTAAAACAGCATATCTTTAGAGTTTCCGAAACACAGTCTCGCATGCTGAGCTTTTTAATTATATATATATATATTCCGTACAGTGTCGCTTTGAAATCGTTAAGCTTGTTAATCAAAAATTCTTTAATGTTTGACAAAATATGAAATAGATAATAAAACAAATTCCAAATTTGGGCTTCCAGACGCATGGAGACTCGAATGGAGGACTACGTTATTCAAAATTCGATGTCTCTAGGTACTGTTGTTTTTCCACAGTGCGAGAAACATACATACATTCATGCAGATTCTTCATTATTTAATTTCTTTAAATATAATGCAGGGCTCTAATGTTTGCTGACAACAATTTGAAAAGTGAACCGACGCAAAATGCCAAAATGAAGTAAAATGCAATTTGGCCCTTCTGAGCAAATTGCCCCTTTGGTCTAAAAATAGTTTAGAATCATAAGATAAATATGGGAAGTTTCCTCCCCCCCCCAATGATATAAATGTCAGTTCACCACCGCTTTTAATTTGGCTCACAAAATAGTCATGAATGGAGCATCATTCCCTGCAGCAAGTCTTCTGTCGATTCTTTTTTATTCGAGATACTGTCGTCCTTCGCAATGATACTGCAGCAATCAAAGTTGGGATAAGGTAAAGAGAATTGCATATTTCCGTCCGCCTCGACAGCTGTCTGTTCTTTTACAAAGAAATCTTTGTAATCTTTTATTTAAACAAGAAATAAGTTCCAAGTCCAGACGGCTTGAATAACATAATTTTGATAGATGTCCATAAAGCATTCCCTCATTTTCAATACACCTTCCTCGATAAACGTTGAGAATTTAGAATTTTCCTTTGAAAAGAGTTAACTCACAGTTAGTGATTGCCCTCAAATAGGCTGAAATTATTGAAGAAGTTGAATAAGAAAAACCAGTGTAATATGTTTTTAGATTTTCAGGACTATTTTCGATGTGTTAAATTCTTCAGCTGCCTAAGTGCAAATGAACGAGATAGAATATGGTGATAAGATAAGAACGACTGGAACGAAGCCAAGCTATAGGGTGAAATTCTGAATGTGCCCTCCTTGTATCGACCTATTTTACCTCCTTTCCACCTTACAAAACTGATGAAAAATCTCGTCCTAGAAAGGCTTCAGCACGAGACTCAAAAATTAATTATATGGATTGAGTAAAATGCAGTTTGGCTTTATAGAAGTTGAACACATTCTGTATTATCTTAGAAACGTACTATATTATACTATAACAGCGAAGCTAATAAACACCACCACTCACTAGCTATAAAAGAAGCCTACGACTCGTTCCATTAGCAAATCTTATAATAGATCAAGTTATGCTGTTTCTCGTTGTCAGGCCATCTTTCCGAAAAATTAATGTAATATACCGCAGACAGAAAACCCTTCGAGCGCATGACCAACTAAATGAGCCCAGAAGGATGAGCACATTTTATAGAACATTAAGTACACGACACTAAATGTGATTAGCAACGTAGCTCATCATATCTCAGGCTTACACCGATGACTTTCTTATCGTAGTAGTTGGAGAAAGAACTAGAAAAATCCGGAGAAAAACGCAGATCTCCTACCTTAACGTTCTTGAGGCAGGATCAGCTTCAAGCACAGGAAACACAGGTAGAATATTTTCAATATATGTTCCTTGATCTGCCACCGTCGACCTTCCGCCATAGCGGGATCTAAGACTTAACGGAGATTTTCCAATTGCTCTACGTAAATGCACAACATCCTCTCAGTGGTAATAATAAAAGTGTTATCGGTGATAATTATGATGGAGTTCAGGTGGTAATATGTGTGTTTTGTTTAAATTAAATAATCTAATCCAGTTTTCATATCGTAACAAGAATTAGTAAAATATTATAACACTAAAAGCTAATTTAAAATTGGAACAAAACACAGTTTTAGTGTGGCGTAGATTGTTTTTTAGTTTGGCAAACCAACAGGGAAAGAAGCTTCTGATTTCTACTCGCCTTCGAAATCAATAGAATTTTATTCAATAGCTAGGCCAAGCTAAGACTACTCTTTTGTCTAATTTTAAATTTTACATTAGCGTGTTTCTCGTGCATTTGATTCGGTTTAATTAAAAATTATTTTGCAAAAATCCTTCTTGACCCAAATGAATTCGGCCGTTTTCAGATCAAGTGGATTGGTCCAGCAGATTGTGTCTATTATTATCTTGAGAGATATTTTTTTCTATCGCATACTGTTTTTAACAATTGTTTCCTTTTAGATGTCTGCTATTGACCGAAAAAGATTCATATCCTTGCTTTTACTTGAGATTTTACAAGCCAGTTAAATAAGCGAAAATTTAAAATTAAAAGAACTGGCGGAGAAAATATTCTTGAGTAAATTTTTGTATCACTAAAGGTTCTCGAATTTAGCATTTGAGAACTAATATATTATCTTATTCATATTCCTTTAGAATGTTTAAAGAAGTTCAGAAAATTTAATGAAAGGACAAATTTATTTGAAGTTGTTAGAATTATAGCTTAAGTTAAACCTTAGATGATGATGAATTATCATGAAATATATTAGTTTACACTTCAACTATATCAGGACAGTTGAAAATATTATGCTTCTAATATGACTCTAATTAAGGCATAGACTCGCGTATTAAAGAAAGATGCAAGCTGGACAATGATCAATTGTTGTTTGCAATATTATAACTGAGCCTTAACTAATGGTTTATTTAAAGGCTTGTTCATTCATAAAATATAAAGGCTGCCAGCTATAAGAATATCTTAACCTACCATTTTGCTCTCATAGAGTCTCTGACGTAATATATTGGTAATAGTAAAAGTATCGAACCTCTGAAAAGTATCGTACCTCCTAAATGTTGCATAGTTATGTGAACATACAATGATTTCGCAACACTCAGTGTTCTGCAGTTGTAATCACACTCATAGATGCATTAAAAATTCTAGCAAGCACGTCTGTTAAATCTCAAGAGAGCCAAAGATATTTAGATTGGTTGGTTAGATTTAAGATGGCAAAGCATACAAGGGCTACTTGCCTAAAGAGGATGTCTCCGTGTAGGATGTTAAGGGAACCTGACTTCGTATCTACATTACACATTGGGAAAGCCACGGGAACACTCATGCGGCTAGCTTGTTTTTTGGGATTCGAACCCAATCGATATCATTGTTCAGAGGCCGTTGATAGGCCTCGCGATATTTAGGCTTTTAAGTTGTAAAGAAACTATAGTAAAACGTGATCTTGAACTTTGACGTCAAGTTATTGTAAATTAATTTTCTCAATTTAATGCTCATATAGCTCATAAGAAAACAGTTTCATGAAGTAGAAATCTATTGCATAATTCTGGTATCGAGATCTTCATTGATTTGCCAAAGCAGAAAGAAACATTTTTTTTCAAATGATTTTCAGTAACGGAGGACATTATAAAGGAACACAAATACAGACTAGATAATTCAGCCATGGTCTTTAAAGAAAAGTCGGCTGTAATTTTAAAAGCAAACCTCTTGATAAGTAGTGGGTGAATGATTAATTCTAAGATTCAGCAAGAACCATAATTATCTACTCTGAGTGTCAAAGCGTTCTAAGATCTTTGAATAATCTAAAATTTTCAACTCTTGATATCATAGCATTGAAACTATTAATCCAAAGCGAACTAACAAAATAGCAACTATTCGACATTAAATTCGGTATGAAGTCACTATATGGTA